TAAATAAAATCTTAAAAAAAAAAAAAAAGATTTTATTTTTAAGTAATCTCTATACCCAATGTAGGGTTCGAACTCACAACTCCAAGATCAAGAGTCACACACTCCACGGACTGAGCCAGCCAGGTGCCCCAAAAACATGGATTTTTTTTTTAAGACTTTAATTTATTTGACAGAGAGAGAACATAAGCAGGGGGAGTGGCAGGCAGAGAGAGAGGGAAAAGCAGACCCCCTGTGGAGCAGGGGCTCAATCCCAGGATCCCAGGATCACGACCCAAGCCGAAGGCAGACACTTCACTGACTGAGCCACCTAGGCACCCCAAAAACATGGATTTCAGAGCCAGATAGTTCAGATCCCAGTTCTGCCACTTCCTGGCCTTGGGTCCTTGGGCAGGTTCCTAACTTCTTTAGCCCCACTGTCCTCACCCAAGAAAGGATGATTCATGCTTCCCTCATTGAGCAAATATGTATTGAGCCAGTCACTATTCCACGCAAATAAGATGATATTTGTAAAAGTCTTATCATGTGGGAGGCAATAGGAAGTATTCTTTTTCCTCCGCTTTGTAACTGCTGACCACAGATGAAGTGGGAAGCCCATTGCAGGCAGACAGCGCGCACTGTGAGTGCAAGGCCAGTGGGAAGACAGGAAGTGGCTCCACGAGAATGGGCAGCAGCCGACTGCCTCCAGGAAACAGCAAGAGTAAGTACGGCTTCCCGAATAGGCCGGTCTAGACAGATAAGAAGTAGATTAGTGGTTGCCTAGGGCGTACGGGGTTGGGGAGAATGGGAATGGGAGATGCTAACAGTACAAGGTTTCTTTTTGGGATGATGGGTGCACAACTCTGTAAATACACTAAAAGTCACTGATTGATACACTTAAATGGGTGATTTACATGGCATGTGATTTATATCTCAATATAGCTGTTATTAACCCAAAACAGTTAAGTCCAGCAACCTCCTAGGTGGCTCTTGGCTTCATGTGGGACCCATGCTGTAGCTCAGCAGCAAGACTAGATCTCAGCTAGTGACTAGTTGAATATACCTCTGTGCTATTATGGCCCTCACTGATGAGCCGTTGCATTTTCTAAACAGCAAAGGCAGACGACGTGAAGAAGGTCCAGGAGACGGGCCTGCACCTCGTGCGGCGCGCGCTGGCCGTGCTCCAGATCTTTGCTGCCAGCCAGTTTGGTTGCGCCACGGGCCAGATCCCACAAACCCTGTGGCAGAGGGGCCAGGCTGACAGGGACTACTCCCCCTTACTGAAGAGGCTGGAGATCTCAGTAGAGAGAGTGAAGCAGCTAGCCTTGAGGCACCAGCCGCACAACCACATCATCACCTCTGCCAGCCTCCAGGACCTGTCTCTGGGAGGCAAGGACGAGCTGACCATGGCTGTGCGGAAGGAGCTGACCGTGGCCGTCAGGGACCTGCTGGCCCACGGACTCTACGCCTCCTCACCAGGAATGAGCCTGGTCATGGCCCCCATTGCTTGTTTGCTGCCAGCCTTCTCCTCGGCCCCTGAGGCCATGCACCCGTGGGAGCTCTTTGTAAAGTACTACCATGCTAAGAATGGCCGTGCTTACGTGGAATCCCCCGCCCGAAAGCTCTCCCAGTCCTTTGCCCTGCCAGTTATGGGAGGCACCGTTGTGACCCCCAAGCAGAGCCTTCTGACAGCCATCCATGTGGTGCTGACGGAGCACGACCCCTTTAAACGCAGTGCAGACTCAGAGTTGAAGGCCTTGGTGTGCATGGCCCTGAACGAGCAGCGTCTTGTGTCCTGGGTGAACCTAATCTGCAAGTCGGGGTCACTCATCGAACCCCACTACCAGCCCTGGAGCTACATGGCGCACACAGGCTTTGAGAGCGCCCTCAACCTGCTCAGTCGCCTCAGCAGCCTCAAGTTCAGCCTCCCCGTGGACCTGGCCGTGCGCCAGCTCAAGAACATCAAAGATGCCTTTTGATAAGAGTGCCTGGCCCTTCAACCAGCACCTTCCTCAGTAGAGTAGGGGTAGATGGTTAGTCTTCTAGGATAGAAACAAAGAGGAGGAGGAGGGGTTAAAGACAGTCTCCCTAGCCAAATGACTGCAAAGTCTGTTTTCCCCGCCAACGTAGCATCTCAGAGATGCTGGAGACCTTCTCGTTCCAAGGTTCTGCCCTGGCGTGTAACACATGGGCACAAATATTTGAGCCGATATAAAAGGAATCGGCTCTGGCACACAGTTAATGGACCACCTCATCGTGCCACATCTGCTTTCTCCAAAACCCAGATTGCTCTAACCATTCTCCTTATGGTGGTGAGTGACATGAGTGAGTCGTTGGTCCCGGAAGACATTCAGTCAGCTGGGATGCGTATTCCTTCGCTTGGAGCAGGTTCGAGAGTCGTTGGGCCAGAATTTGAATTCCTTTACGAATGCTGACACCCCTTTCTTCCTGACCCCAGGTCAGGGGAGGCTGTGTGTGTTCCACAGTTGCTTCTAAAACTAGGAATGGGGATATCGGAAAACAGCATTTCTGAGGGAGTTCACCACAAGTTGGTTTCAATGTGAGCCCTTTTTTGTGGGTAAGAACTGAGATCTGTTCCTGACAAGGTGGCCCACTTCTCACGGCACAGATGGCGGTCTTTTGGATTTAGAGCTGGTTAGTTATGAGGAATGGCAACCACTGTCGGTACCACGTCCTCTGGCAAATAACCTTTCCTGGGCACACCTCCCAGCAAGGCGCTGACCCAGTCTTTTTGAAAGTACATACACCAGAGCTATACTCCTCGGGAGAACCCTTGCCACCCAAGTCAAGTGTGAATGGGAATACGCCTTAGTGATCAGCAGCAACTCCTCCCAGGGTTGGGATTCCACTTGTCCTGGAGGCTGGATGATGGAGGGGGTCTGATCACGCAGTAGGGACTACAGAGGGGGTTGGGACTACAGTAGATGACCGCTGACAGGGACTGAGCATTTCCTTGTAAAACTGACCCTAGAGTGATCCTGTTTGGCCTTCAGTATTTTAGCCTTTTTAGTTCGTATTTATCATTCAGCTTGCATACTGCTCCAGGACTGCCCAAAGATGGGCAAAGTGTATCCTATCACTTTCTGGAAAACCAGATGGGATCTGCATACCGCTGATCGGCATTGTTTCCTGTATTAAATTACCAGCTGCACTCGTGTCTGCGCTATTGCGTAGTCCGCGTTAACTTAATTTTTTTCAGTGACATGTTATTTAAGATGTATTATTGATAATTCATTAGAATTAGTCCTCTTTCTGTGTGAAACAGGGTAAGTGTAAAATGTGGAAAATGATATATCTGTGGTTGCTAATAAAAATCATAGTATTTTATGTAGCTTCTCTACAAAGACCTTAGAGACTCTTGGCTTTGGTTTATAAGTCTGTCTGTGCATTATTAGCTCATCTGATCCAGATCAGTATTTCCTTGAGCAATGTCTGGCTCTTGGCCTTTCTGCCTCTTCTTGGCCCCCCACCCTGGATCAGCTCAGCTTTGGTGGTGTTTTCTTTCCCCCAGACATTACCCTGCCATCTCACCCAGGCCTACGGCCCCATTCCCACAGCACACCTCCCCATACATGCCACTTTGGGAGCTGGCACTTTTATTTTTAAAGATTGATTCATTTATTTAATAGAGAGCACGCAGGGGTGAGGGGCAGTGGGAGAGGGAAAAAGAGTCTCCAGCAGACTCCACGCTGAGCACAGAGTCTGACTGGGTGCTCAGTCTCACAACCCCGAGATCACGACCCAAGCTGAAACCAAGAGTCGGACACCCAACCAACTGAACCACCCAGGTGCCCCTGGAGCTGGCACTTTTAAATCCATTTGTCTAGATATCATTTAGGGTGGATGATAACTGCCATAACTATATGGCACAGCCCTGGATCACCCCAGTATTACCCTTTTCTAATCTTCACAAAGACTAATTTGTATCAAGGTTTTGTGCTAGCATCAATGGGAAGCATTTTTAAGTCAACCTAATTTTTTTAAAGATTATTTGAGAGAGAGCGAGTGCTAGTGGGGCGGAGGGGCAGAGGGAGAAGGAGAGAAGCAGACTCCCCGATGAGCGGGGAGCCCAACATGGGGCTCGATCTCAAGACCCTGAGATCATGACCCGAGCTGAAACCAAGAGTCGGACGCTTAACCGACTGAGCCACCCAGGCACCCCATAAGTCATTCTAATATAATTCTCACTATTTGTAAGGCAGGACAATATTCTCCCAATTTTATAGCTGAGTAAACTGAAGTTAAACATCTTGTCCACGTTTATGTAATGGAAGAGCTGAGATTTGAACTCAAGTTGCCTGAATCCAAATCCTATGATCTTTATATTCTATCATGTTATCTCATTGTATCATGCTGCTTCCAGATCTTTTGTTCCTCTCTCTTCTTTATCCACCACCTCGTTCCACCATCACTTTGGGAAAGAGAAGGTATTTCCCACATACCCACCAGAAATTCATGCTGCCAACGGACTAGGCCACAAGGACATGGGCAGACAGCCGCTGCTCTACCAAGTTCTTCATGAAACGTAAAGGCAATGTGTAGAGACAGAGACAAGCCCGCCAGCATCCCATAGTCAGACACCTGGTAGTCACTGATATGATCTGCATTATTACTTAAGACAGTAAGGCTTGGGGGGAGGCACACAGGACAAGGGAGGAGAGAAGGAAACAGCCTAGGTCTAAGCATATGCAAGAACAGAATGAAAAAGAGCCATAGATATGTATCCATAAAAGTGCAGCCTCCTTTGTTATAAAAGTATGATCTGCAAAGCATTCTTAAAGATTTCTAAGATGGGGGCACCTGGCTGGCTCAGTTGGTAGACCAAGCGATTCTTGGTCTCAGGGTTATAAATTCAAGCCCCACATTGGGTGTAGAGATTATTTAAAATCTTAAAAAAAAAAAAGTTTCCTAAGGTGTTCTGCATTCATTCATTCTTGAATGCCTGCCAATTGCCTGGGCCAGGCTAGATACTAAGGAAAGAGATCAATAAAACATACCCCCTGTCCTCAAGGAAGACACAGTCTAACTAAGGAGATACCAAACCAACTGGAGATTTGCGTAGCTTGTTAAAAATTGCTGGGTCCCATCTCAGAGATTTTTATTCAGTAGTTCTGGGGTGAGGCCTGAAAATTTGCAATCCTAACAAGTTCCCAGGTTATGCTGATGCAGCTGGTCTGGGGACCACACTTTGAGAACCACTGATCCAAACCAAATATGTTCTTTTTTTTTTTTTTTTAAGATTTTATTTATTTATTTGAGAGACAGTGCGTGCACAAGCTTAGGGGGGTGGGGAGCAGAGGGAGAGGAAGAAAGAATCCCAGTCTCCACGCTGATGCAGGGCTTGATCTCACAACCCCAAGATTATGACCTGAGCTGAAATCAAGAGTCGGACGCCCAACCGACTGAGCCACCCAGGCGCCTGCAAACCAAATACATTCTATAATAAAGATAAATATGGATTGGATTGCTGAGGGAGCACAGCAGGAAGAGATTGGTTCTGCCCAGTAGAACTCTGGATAGGATTTGGACAGGTTTTTGCCTGGCTGCAGTGGAGGAGAATAAAGACACATGGAACCACCTGAGTAAAGACCCCAGGGCTCAGAAGAGGTTGGATATTTGAGTAGTTGGGGGATGGGGAGGGCAGTATGTGAGGGTGTGAAGGAATTTAGGCTGTAGGAAAGGAGAGGTGAGTTCAAACTTTGGTATAGAGAGCCAACGAAGGATTTCAAGCACATAAATGGTGGATTTAAGAGTTGTGTTGAGGGAAGCTTCCCAAAATAAGCTCTATAGATCATATGGCTCCACTCCAGACTGGAATTGTTATCTCCTAGGTTGGAAATCCATCTTTCATAAACATAGCAAGCAATTCTGACCCACACAAAAGTTTGAGGAGGAGAAGAAAAAGATCTGAGGCTGGATAGATTAGGGGGCAAGTGGAAAAGGACAGAAAAGATTTAAAACACAAGGAAAAATTCACAGGATTTAGTACTAATTTGATTTGGAGAGTGTTTGTGAGAAGAGTCTACGGCAATTACGAGATTTGAGGATCTGGTTTATATTTTCCAAGAGAGATACAGCAAAAGAGGCAGCAGCAGATAAGGAGGCTGGGAGCAGAGCACAGAGGTGGAAATGGGCAGGTTGGCATGGTGTAGTGGGAAGAGCACTGGGTTAGGAATGAGAACTTACTCTTCTTCACCATCTTTGTGACTTTGCTGCTCTGGAACTGTCCTCTCAGAGGCCAGAGTAGATATCTCTGAGGTCCCTTCCAACTCTAAAATGTCATATTCCAAATTAAAACAAAAGATTTTTAAAAAGATTTTATTTATTTGACAGAGAGAGACACAGCGAGAGAGGGAACACAAGCAGGGGGAGTGGGAGAAGGAGAAGCAGGTTTCCCGCTGAGCAGGGAGCCCGATGCGGGGCTGGATCCCAGGACCCTGGGATCATGACCTGAGCCGAAGGCAGACACTTAACGACTGAGCCACCCAGGTGCCCCAAAACAAAAGATTTTAATTGAAAAGAAATATAAGTACATAATTACTGTGATAAACCATTGGAATGGCGTCGTGAGGGCTGCAGGGAAAATTGGTCCCTGGAGAGCCTTAAGAGAATCGATGAAACCCTGATTGTTCCCACATCTTGCCCAAGACCAATCCTGTAGATTCTTCAATGTTCAGATAAGCAAAAACTGTAAGATGGTTTCCTTTCTCTTGAACTCAGAAGACAGCTAAAGGGGAGGCGCCTGGGTGGCTCAGTCGTTAAGCGTCTGCCTTCGGCTCAGGTCATGATCCCAGAGTCCTGGGATCAAGCCCCACATCAGGCTTTCTGCTCAGCCGGAAGCCTGCTTCTTCCTCTCCCACTCCCCCTGGTTGTGTTCTCTCTCTCGCTGTGTCTCTCTCTGTCAAATAAATAAATAAAATCTTTAAAAAA